ATGTAAGTGGGAACGAGGCCTTAGTAGGGCCTGGCTCCAAGTCACCTCTAGACATATATTTTCAACACCTAATAAACTTTCTTGTAAACAGAACAGAGTTATTAACCCAGGGACTATCCCTCTCTGCCAGATGGTGCCCATTCTTATATCCTGCCAGGCTGATGGTTGGCATCTCACCTGTGTATTCTAGGAGACATTATCTGCCAGGCGAGAAGGATGGGGAGGCAGAAGGTGTCACCTTCACATGCCTTGACATCCTTTTTGAAGATCAAAGCCTGTTTTAACTGCAGTTCATAACCTTTGTTCCCCAGTATTTTGGACACCAGTTCACAGAAACCGTTCAGCTTAGCTTAGGGGTCATTCAGACGTCATTTTTTTAAGAGAATGATGCAAATAATCTCACTCACGCATTCCGGGTTTGCTATTCACACTATGGAACCGCATCAATGCACATCTCTGTATGTCTTTTTAGTTTTTTTTATAAAGTACTTAATATGTAGAATCATAGAATCAGAGTTGGAAGAGACCACAAGGGCCATCCAGTCCAACCCCCTGCCATGCAGGAACTCTCAATCAAAGCACCCCGACAGATGGCCATCCAGCCTCTGCTTAAAGACCTCCAAGGAAGGAGACTCCACCACAATTTCTGAGGAGTGTGTTCCACTGTCAACAGCTCTTACTGTCAGGAAGTTCCTCCTAATGTTGAGGCAGAATCTCTTTTCTTGCAGCTTGCATCCATTGCTCCAGGTCCTATTTTCTGGAGTAGCAGAAAGCAAGCTTGCTCCCTCCTCAATATGACATCCCTTCAAATATCTAAACAGGGCTATCATATCTCCTCTTAACCGTCCCTTCTCCAGGCTAAACATATCCAGTTCCCTAAGTCTCTCCTCATAAGGCATGGTTTCCAGACCCTTCACCATTTTGGTTGCCCTCCATGGAAATGCTCCAGTTTGTCAACATCCTTTTTGAATTGTGGTGCCAGAACTAGACAGGATTCCAGGTGAGGCCTGACCAAAACAGAATGGAGTAGCACTATTACTTCCCTTGATCTAGACACTATACTTCTATTGATGCAGTCTAAAATTGCATTGTTGACTCATGTTCACCTTGTGGTCTACTAGGACTCCTAGATCCCTTTCACACGTAGAAATCTCCTTAAGCCAGGTGTCCCCCATCTTATATCTATGCATTTCATTTTTTTGCCCTAAATGCAGTACCTTACATTTCTCTGTGTTGAAATTCATTTTGTTAGTTTTGGTCCAGCTATTAAGGTCATTTTGAATTTCCATCCTCTGGGGCATTAACTATTCCTCCTAATTTGGTGTCATCTGCAAATTTGAGAAGCATGCCCTCTATTCCTTCATCCAAATCATTGATAAAGATGTTGAATAGCAAACTGGGCCCAGGACATAAGCCCACTGGACACCCCACTGGTCACTTCTCTCCAGGATGAAGAAGAGGAGCCATTGCTCAGCATCCTTTGGGTTCGGTCAGACAACCAGTTACTAATCTACCTAACAGTTGTATTGTCTAGCCCACATTTTAATATCTTCTTTGCAAGAATATCGTGGGGGACCTTGTCAAAAGCCATACTGAAAACAAGATATGCTATGTCTACTGCATTCCCCTCATCTACCAAGCTGGTAATTTTATCAAAAAAAGAGATCAGAATAGTCTGGCATGACTTGTTTTTGAGAAACCCATGTTGACTTTTAGTGATTATGGCATTCCCTTCTAAATGTTCACAGACTCTGTTTAATGAATTGTTCTAGAATCTTTCCCGGTATTGATGTCAGACTAACTGAGCGATAGTTGTTGAGACCCTCTTTTTGCCCTTTTTGAAGATGGGGACAATGTTTGCCCTCCTCCAGTCTGTTGGGACCTCTCCTGTTCTCCAGGAGTTCTCAAAGATTATTATTGCCAGTGGCTCTGAGATTACATTTGCCAATTCTTTTAATATCCTTGGATTTAGTTTATCTGGTCCTGGAGACTTAAATTCATTTAGGTTAACCAGGCATTCCTGTACCTCCTCTTTACTTATTTTGTGCTGCATTTCCCCTATTGTGTCTTCTGCTCCATTTCCCTCAGGTTGGACACCCTTTTCCTTTTGTGAGAAGACTGAGGCAAAGAAGGTGTTGAGTAGTCCTGCCTTTTCTCTGTCCCCTGTTAGAATTTCTCCATCTTCTCTGCGCAGTGGTCCTACCATTTCCTTCTTTTTTCTTTTGCTACAAACATACCCAAAAAAAGCCCTTTTTATTGTCCTTAACCGCTCTAGCAAGCCTGAGCTCATTCTGTGCTCCAACCCGGTTTCTTGAGACACTTCCCATTTTTCCTTCTCATTGGAACACTTTGAGATTGTGCCTTCAGTATCTCTCTTTTGAAAAACTCCCATCCATCCTGAACTCCCTTCTCCTTTAGTATTCCTGACCATGGGATCACTCCCAGTGTTTCCCTAAATTTGCTGAAATCAGCTCTCCTAACATCTAGAATGAGTGTTTGACTCTACCTAGCTTCTCCTTTCCACTGTATAAGAAACTCCAGGAGGACATGATC